CACCCCAACCCCAACCCAACCCTTTCTCAGCCACTCTGGCTCCCCCCCACCCCAGCTGAGGTAACCAGTCACTGGGTTTCCACACGCGTTCAGAAGCGTAAACTTACCCGCCGCTGAGAAAATGGTACTGTCTTCGCTGTCTTGTAGGCTCCAGGTTACAACAGGCTGTATCAGTTTGAGGTTTCTGCCCGCCGCCCGTCCGGGAGACGGGTTCCAAAGCGCCTTTTTGCACAGGCCGCAAACACAGCCGCGCTGCGCGGGGAGCCACTGGAGGTCTTCCTCTTGCCCGGCATGCTTTGCGGCCGGGGGCGTGGAGTGAGGAACCATAAAGAAGAGAGCATGTAGATAGTCTCCCCTATTGGCTCTGACTCACCATTGAGAGAAGGAAAACCATAGAGAAGAGGCGACTAGTGGGGACTAGAAGGGCCCAAATTATACGCCCCACCCTGCCATTTTTTATTAGAGCCGATTGAATCTTATGACTACGCGACGCCATCTTGAGGTCATGGTCTCGCTTGGGCACCGCGCGAAGTTTATTAAGAGGATTTCTCACTTTTCGAGATTTTTCTGGGGATTAGAACCTTGCTCTCTGATTGACTGAAGTTCGATGAACTGTTTCAGCCCCACCCGGAACCGCCGTGAAAACTACAGATGCTAATTTCTCCCTAGAAAACTGCCTTCCTATGAAAAACTGGCAGACTTTTTTTTTTCAAGTGCACAAACCCAATAAAATAATGGTAGTAGAGCCAAAGAGGTAGATAGAAGATGTTTGAAATATGTAAAAAGACCTGTAAGAATATTTAACATAGCTTTCATCTGTGATATAAACATGCTAAGATCTTCACTTACTAATAAGAATGAATTTCCCACTGCTTGCTTCTCAGAACTGGCTTACAATTTATTCAGTAGAAAGTTATTGCCTGTCTGGGTACTTGGTGTTGCGCTAAATGCTGGGAGTATGAAGGCAAACGGGAGAGATTTGTTCCTGTCATGTAAGAATTGTAGTTAAGGTAGAATAGATAACACTGACCACCCTATATAAAACTGAAACAGGACTAGGGATTTTAGCTCAATGGTGCCACAGCCTACCTCATAAGCACAAGGACCTGAGTTCTATCCCTGGTACCAAAGAGGGGAGAAAAAAACTGAATACTTCCTGTTCTTATTTCTGGTCCGGCCTGCCACTACTCCACTAGAATGTTAATTTAAGTGTATGAATGGATGTTTCCTTCACTGCTATACCTCCAGTGCCTTATACTTAGCAAGCACTCAGTAATAGTTGTTGAATGAAAAAAATCAATACCATGTAATGGGTATCAACAAAGCCAATGTAATGAGAGTGTTCATGAGAAAATATCTATATACCAATATTGCCATCTATAGATTTTTACATTCATATGTCCTTGTGCTTACTAACATTTGTTTATAACTATTAAGTGTGATTAATAATACCACAATTATGTTAAGGGTTAAATTAATGTTTGTGAAATTATTTTGTTCAATTAAATGCTATTTACGTTTTATAAGTAGCCTGTTCCCTTTTTTTAAACAACCAGGGACATAAACACAGAAATCCACTCAAGTTACTCTACCCCTTTGTATTGTTAGAAACGTACATAAATTCATGAGTTACTGTCTCAGGCAACAATTCGCTGACTTTCCTATAGTAGATGTTTGTTGTTTACATTATCTTTCTCCAAATTCATGGTGGCGCAGCCTGTAATCCCAGCCACTCAGGAGTTGAGGAAAGAAGATAGCAAATTTGAGGCCAGCCTGGGCAATTTAGTGAGGCCCTATCTCTAAAAATAAAAATAAACAGGGCTGGGCACATAACTCAGTGGTAGTGCATTCTCAGTTTGATCCCTGGTACCAGCCCCCTCCCCAAAGAAAAACACACACAAAAAAAACTGTTCTACTACTGAGATATAATGAAGAAACAGAAACCCAATGTGCTATTGCACACCTGTAATCCCAGCACTGGAGAGGCTGAGGCAGGAGGATTGATGAGAGATTGAGGTCAGCCTAAGCTACACAATGAGTTCAAAGCCAGCCTGAACTACATAGACTCTTGTCTCAAAAAAAAAAAAAAAAAAAAAAAAAAAAAATCAAAAAGAGCTGGGCATGGTGGCACATGCCTGTAATCCCAGCACTCAGGAGGCTGAGGCAGGAGGATCCCTGTGAGTTTGAGACCAGCCTGGGCTACATAGTGAGTTCCAGGTCAGTCTTAACTACATAGTGAGACCCTGTCTCAAAAAAAAAAAAAAAATACAATAACAAAAACAATGAAGGAACGAGGTTTACAAAAGTTAAATGATTTGCCAAAGATTATGCAACTAGCAAGCCAGTCTGGTTACTCAGTTCATGCTTTGAACCATTACTATATACTGCTTATCCTATCCACCCTTACGCTAAACCACTAACAGGAATGAAGCTAAAAGGGCAAAGGACACTGTATTTTTCACTTGAACTTGGGAGGATTTAAGTTTGAAATTCAGGCAAATAATAATGAAACTATTGCAGGTTGTGGTGGTACATTCCTATGATCTCAGCACTCTGGTAAGCTGAGGTAGGAAGATCACAAATTTGAGACCACCCTGGGCAATTTAGCAATACTGAGACCCTGTCTCAAGATTAAAAAGGGGGGCTGGGAATGTAGCTCAATGTGAATGCCTTGGGTTTAATACCCAGTGCCACAATAAAGACGAATGAAATGCTATGATTTGCAGAAAGACAGATGGGACTTGAGACCATAATGCTAAGTGAAATATGTTAGATATCAAAATTTAAATATGATCTCATGATCTTTTATAAGAAAAACCTAAAATACAAATGAATTAGTAAAAGAGAAAAGGAAACAAAGAGGAAGATTTTTTCAGGATGGGAAAGGAGATCAGAGGAAGGGGAGGTACAGGAGGGCGAGGTAAGAAGATCAAAAATGATCGTGAATCTAAAATGTACCAATATGGTGGCGCACACCTGTAATCCCAGCACTTGGGAGGCTGAGGCAGGAGGATTGCTTTGAGTTCTCGAGACAAGTCTGGGCTACATAGTTCCAGGTCAGTCTCCACTACATAGTGAGACCCTGTCTCAAAAAACCAAAAAATAAATAAATAAATAAATATTTAAAATGTACCAGGGCCAGGGATTTAGCTCAGCGGTTTGGTGGCCTGCCTCGCAAGCGCAAGGACCTGAGTCTGATCCCTGGTACCACAAAAAATAAATAAATAAATAAATAAAATAAAATAAAATGTACCAATAAAAAAAAGATATAAGGGATAGAAAGAGCTGTGGTTGTCCCTTGTTGCTGTGCTACCTTCTGCCTGGCATGAACTGTTTCTCTTCTGCAGTGTCTCTCTGTCATGGCATCATGCCACAGAGCCAGCCAATTACAGAGTGAAACTTCTCCAAACTGTGAGCTAAATAAACCTTTCTTCCTTTTAAAAAAACAATATCATGATATGTGATGTGTATGCTCCAATTCCCCTGAACAAACATAGCTATTATGTACTGCAAACATTTTTTTTTCTTTTTTGCGCTGGGGATCCAACTCAAGACCTTGCACTTGTGAGGTAGGCAGCACCACTGAGCTAAATCCCTAGGCCTGTAAACATTTTTTTAAAGCTGCTGAGTAGTGCCTTTCTGACCACAGAAAAGATGTGGGGCCTGGGATTTAACTCAGTGGTTCCACTGCCTGCCTTGTAAGCACAAGGACCTGAGTTCCATCCCTGGTACCAAAAAAAAAAAAAAAAAAAAAGGAGAGAATATTCAACTTATTTACCAGGAAAAGAAAATGGGACCATTAGAAAAACAAATCCAGATGGGCCAAAAACTCGAAGGCAAATGTAAATGCCCTATAAAGAATATCCTTTTAGAATTCCTAAAATATCTGAGATAACCTTCAAGAATTATATTTTAAAAATTCAGAATCGCCAGACATGGGTACATGCCTATAATCCCAATACTCGAAAGGCTGAGGCAAGAGTATTGCCATGAGTTTAAGGCCAGCCTGGGCTGGCCTTGTCTAAAAAAAACACAAACAAACAACAACAACAAAAAAAAAAACCCAACAATTTTTTTTTTTGTACCAGGGATTGAACTCAGGTCCTTGCACTTGCAAGGCAGGCCACCAAACCGCTGAGCTAAATCCCCAGCCCCCAAAAACCTAAATCTTAAACTCAAGATTCAAAGGAGAAAATATACTCCAACAGAGATAAATTAAATGGGCTGGGGATTTAGCTCAGTGGTGCTGCTGCTGCTGCTGCCTGCCTCACAAGCGCAAGGTCCTGAGTTAATTTCCTGGTACAAAAAAACCAAAATGGATAAATGAAAGATTGAAAAAAAAAGTCTCCTGGGCTGGGGATTTAGTTCAGTGGTTCTGGTGCCTACTTTGCAAGCACAAGATCCTGAGTTCGATCCCTAGTACCAAAAAGAAAAACAAAATGTTTCCTGTGAACATTCATTCTTCAGTAAAACCCAGGGGGAAGAATTTAGTTGGTATTTTTTATTGTGATTATGGTTTCCAGTCTGTTTCTATGTTTGTTTGCGACAAGGTCTTATTATGTAATTCAAGCTGACTTTAAACTCACTACGTAGACCAAGCTGGCCTCAAACTTCAAGGTGATGCTCATATTTCAGCCTAAGTGCTCAAATCACAGGCATGCACCACCACACCTGGCTTTACTTGTTCTTCTGGGATCAATGAAACATTTCAACATTCTGTTAAAAAGAAAAAATTTCCCTGTAAGGCCTTAAAAAGATGACAGACTAGGCTGCAGAGGAGTGGAATATTGAAAAATCTGAGGAATTTAGCGACCAATTTGCTATTCCAGAGCTTGACGTAAAAAATCGACAAATCAAGTCAGGTGTGGTGACAAACACCTATAAATCCCAGCACCCAAAAGACTAAAGTGGGAGCATCACCAGCTCAAGACAAGCTTAGACTACCTGGAAAGAGCCTATTAAAAAAAAAAAAAAAAAAGCCAAAGTAATCATCTGCCACAACTTTTTTTGTTTTGTTTGTTTGTTTGAGACAGGGTCTTTCTATGTAGTTGAGACTGACTTGGAACTCACTATGTAGCCCAGGCTGGTCTCAAACTCACAGAGATCCTCCTGGCTCAGCCTTCTCAGTGCTGGGATTACAGGCATGCGCCACCATGCCCAGTTTGCCACAACTCTTTAAGAGCAAAAGAAGAGGGTGAAATTTCACAGGCTACTCTTAAAAACAAACAAACAAACAAAACAAACCTCATATTGGGATTGGAAGGAAAGAAGAGATGAGAAACCAAAAATAATGTGGAATCTATGTAACGTAGCAGAGTT